AAGATGTTCATCACTTTTGTATCCTTTCACCCTATTTATTCAATCTGAGCAAATAATCTAAGAAGCTGGACTATATGAAGAAGAACATGGTATCAGGACTAGAGTAAGGCTCATTAACACCTGTGGCATGTAGCTAGATGATACAGCCTTGCTTACCTGAAAGCAAAGACTTGAAGCACTTGCTGATGAAGATCAAAGACCACAGTCTTCACTATGCATTACAACTCAATACAGAGAAAGCAAAAATCCTCACCATCATGATAAATAGAGAAAAGAATGAAGTTGTCAAAGACTTCGTTTTGTTTGATTCCACAATCAACACTCATGGAAGCAGTAGTCCAAAAAAATCAGATGATGTATTTCATTTAGCATATCTGCTGCACAAGACCTCTTTAAAGTGTTCAAGAGCAAATATGTCAGTTTGAGGACTAAAGTGCACCTGATGCAAGTCATGGTATTTTCCATTAACTCATGCATGTGAAAGCTGGACAATGAATAAGGAAGACTAGAGAAGAATTAATGCACCTGAATTACGATGTTGGCGAAGAATACTTAAAAGTACCTTCTTCTAACAAACAAATCTGTCTTAGCAGAAGGATAACATGAATACTTCTCAGAAGCAATAATGGAGAAACCAATCTCACATACTTTGGACATGGTATCAGGAGAGACCAGCCTCTGGAAAAGGACATCATACTTAGTACAGTGGAAGGTCAGCAAACAAGGGGAAGACCCCCAACAACATGGATTGACATGGTGGTTGCAAAAGTGGGCTGCAATATAATGGCAATTGTGAGGATGGAGCAGGACCCTGTCTAGGGTTCCTGAGGAGCTGCTGGTAGGTTTGAACCTCCAACCTTGCAGTTAGCAGTCCAGTGCTTATCCTACAGCACCTCACCCACAAGAATAATGTGCAAGCATATAATATACCCAGTACATACAGGAAACCAGTTTGTGAGGGGGTTGCACAATTCGCAAAACCTGTATAACATGCACATTATCAGTAATTGACTCTTTGAAGTTTTGTTTGGCTCCCCCCGAAGAATACTGGTGTTGAGCCGCTTTACACTGACCATTTCTGCTTCTCTGATGGAGAAATGCCAAGCCAAGACTTTTGGCCATTTTTAAATTGGATTGCTTCTCTTTTTGTTGCTGAATTGTAAGAGATCTTTGTATATTCTGTACAGTGGTGGTAGTGTACCAGTGAGTCATTTCCAACTCATAGCAACCCTGTATAGGGCTTCCAAGGCTATAAATCTTTACAGGAGCAGAAAGCCTCATCTTTTCCCATGGAGTGACGGGGTGGATTTGAACTGCTGAACTTATGCTAGCAGCCCAATGCATAATCAATTATACAAGCAGGGTTCATTATACATTCCACATATAAGTCTCTTACCAGACAGACAATTAGAAAATATTTCCTCCCATTTTGGGAGCTGTTTTTTTATGTTCTTGATGGCATCCTTTGAAGCTCAAAAGTTTGCAGCTCTGATACGGCCCAATTTGCCTATTTGATTTCTCTTACCTGTTCTGTTTCCATCTGGAGTCATCGTTTACATGAATTTCATTTCAGAACCCAAACCTGAGCCAGGCATGGGACTGGAAGCCCTTTTTATTGTACATTGGGAATCCAGGTAGACCCAGCTAAACTGTCTTCATCTCCCTAAGCTGGTGGGCTGCTTATCTTAGTTTGTCCTTTCAAAGAGAATACAGCCTTAAAAATCACCCTTAACGAGCTTACAAGTCAGGCTGCTAACCTCAAGGTCAGCAGTCCAAAACTACCAGTCATTCTGTGGGGAAAGATGACACTTTCTGTTCCTTTAAAAATTTACAGCCTCAGAAACCCTATGTAGGGTCACTATGAGTCAGAACCAACTCCACGGCACACTACCACCATCACTACCATAGGTGCCTCAGAAGAAAAGTCTGGCAATCTGTTTTCAAAAAGGACAGCCTTTTTACCCTGCGGAGAGGTTCTAGTCTGCACACATGGGGTCGATGTGAGTCAGAATTCATGTGAGGGCAGCAACAAACCAGCCTTCCAGATTTTTGTCTTTATCTGGGGTCTCTGTTCCAAATCACTGCCTTATAGACACCCGAAGCTACATCTCCCGTCCAGGCTTGGGCTTTGGCTCCCGCTTCTGGAAACTACCAGGATGGACCAGCTACCTCCTCCCTACCCAGGGCAGCCGCACTTGCTGCCCTGGGTTTTAGCTCCTCGTGCCTCTGCCCTCTGGGAATTGCCCTTCCACTTTATGAGTGTATGAACACATTTAGAATTTCTAGAAAATACATTTCATCCAAAACCTTCTGGCTGGCCATTCCCGAAGAGTTCTACATTTTCTTAGACTGCTTCTCACCAGAAACGATCGGCTTTGTCTCTTAGGATACCTCGAGTTCTCATCGCTGCCAGAAGGACTGAAGAGATTGAAGACAGAGTTTTTCAATAAGCCATGTAACCTCACACCATCAGGACATACTGGTATGTGTGTCTTGGTTTCTTACAACTAACATAGTATCTACAGCCGAGAGGAAGTTCACAGACATAGCAGCCAACTCTGACTGCTGTGGACAAACCCCCTGTAAGTATTTGCCTGCTTTGCAGCTTGGAGCCGGTCCCAGTAGCTAGTGCTCAGTGGCCTCACTAGTCCATTAAATGTTTGCACTGTTCACCTGATGGCTTCCTGGTGCCATCTGACCATCTACCAGTGGGTAAGTACTCAGCTGTTACCTGAATGATCGGTGGTTCAAACCTACCCAGTAGCTCCGTGGGAGAAAAGTTCTGGCAATCTGCTTCTGCAGAGGTGGCAGCCTCGGAAACCCTCTTGGACTGTTCGGTTGTACTCGTCACACAAGGTCACCATGAGTCCAAATCAACTCAACGGCCCCCAATAGCAACAACAATCTGTCTCCCTACCTCTGTCTCTGTCTCTAGGAAGGGGCTTCAAAACAGTCGTGGGAAAATGGAGCCGGTAGCAAATGGAATTTTCCCAGGAACGTTTGGAAGCCCTCTCAGATTTCTCTTTCTCTCGCTCCTCGTATAATGGGGAAAGATTAGGAAGAAACTGTCACAAATGTATGGCAGAACTTTTGGAGGAAGAATGTTGCCCATGCTCTTTGACCAGCTTGGAGTCTGGCTGGCAGTGGAGGAAAGTAAAGACAAGCCTCGTGCTCTGATCATGCTGACACCAAGACCAAGCCTATTTTGTGTCCTTGGTAAGAACTGGGGGGCGAGAGAGAAAAGGGTGCAAAAGGGAGCTTTTCTGCTCAGTGCTCCCTTGCTCCTTCCGTATCACCTGCCATTGTGTGTCTGTCCTACACATCTGCCCCAAACCAAACCCCCCCCCCCCCCCCACCAAGATGATTCTGACCTAGAGGGCAGGGTAGGAATTCCCGTAGGATTACCGAGGCTTTACAGGAGCAGACTGCCTCATTTTCCTTCCTGGAAGTGGCTGGTGGGTTTGAACTACCAACCTTTCGATTCACAGCCTACCACTTAACTCACTGCACTACCAGGGCCCTTTATTGTTGCTGTTGTGTGTCAAGTCAGTTTGATTCAACAACCCTTGTAGGGTTTCTGAGACTGTAAATCTTTACGGGAGGCGAAAACCTCATCTTTCTCCTGTAGATTTCAACTCCTGACCTTTAGTGCCTACCTCACAACACCACCGGAGCTCTGATGGAGCACATTAAAACCCAAAACAAAACTCACTGTCGTTGCGTCGATTCTAACCCATAGCAATCCCTATATAGGGTTTCCAAGACTTTAAATATTTACATGAGCAGACTGCCGCATCTTTCTCTCATGGAAGTGACTTGGTGGGTTTGAACTACCGACTGGTGGGTTTGAACTGCCAACCTGTGGCTTAGCAACCTAACCCATAGTGCCACATGGGTAAAATGAGTAATAGTAGGAAAAGCCAAGGGGCCGGCACAGACTGAGCAGTTCAGCAGGGTCTCTGCTGGGGATCCCTCCTATACCTCTCTCACCAGTTTCCAGCTCCTAGGTTCTGCTGGGGTCTCTAGGCACTGGACCCCCAGTTCTTCATAGCCCTGAAGGGATTCTAGTCCTTTAGGGTTCTGGTATAGGAGTAGGCAGGTCAGTGTGCACCTGGTGGAATTCACCAGACCTCCCTTTAGGCCTATTTCCTCTAAGGCCAATGCTTACCCTGCCCATATCCTATGTCAACCGCTTCCTCTGCCCTCCTTTTGCCTGCATTCAACCTTCCCTCTCTCATTCTTCCATAAATCTCCCATTCATGCCCCTCTATATTTTAACAAAGGAGCTCTGGCAGTGTAGCGATCTTGAGTCAGGCTGCTAACCTCAAGGTCAGCAGTTTGAAACTACCTGCATTCCATGGGAGAAAGATAAGGCTTTCTGCTCCCTTAAGGATTTATAGCCTCAAAAATCCTATGAAGGGTTGCTATGAGTGGGAACCGACGCCATGGCACATAACCACCACCATCACATTTTAACACCATCTACTCAAGGCAGTAGTTTTCAACATTTAAAAATATAATAATTAATTTTGCTGAGATCCCTAAGGAGCCCTGGTAGTGCAGTGGATTAAATGCTGGGCTGCTCATCACAAGGTTGGTTCAAACCCACCTGCTGCTCCACAGGAGAAAGATGAGGCAGTCTGATCCCATAAAGATTTACAGCCTCGGAGACCCTATGGGGCAGTTCTCCTCTCAGCTGGATGACAGCAGTGGAGACCTACTTCCCAAATGCAGCCAATGAAAACCTTATGGGTCAATGGGGTCCGATCTGCAGGTGAGGCAAGAGCGGGCAGGCGTTCTGTGGGTTATGTGTGGTGGGATTAGCACGCAGTCAGGCAGACTTGACATCAGCAAAAATGACCCCGGATGCCAACATGGACACACGTGAGATGAGTTGGTGGATGCCTGAGTTTAGGGATTTAGAGAAACTGGCTCTCATCTCTGAAAAGACATCAACAGAGCCGAGTCTTGTGACCCCGGCCAGACAGGCATCTGCTCACCTGATTCCCGTGTGCGTCCTCGCACCACCTCACTCCACGGTCCAGCCCCAATGGCGTTGAACACTTGCATCTGCAGCTCGTATTCCGTCCACTCCTCCAGTTCCTCGATGGTGAGCTCCCGCTCCAGCCGGTCACTAATGACTTGAGTCAGCACCTGAGTCTGCAGGTCTGCACGCCAGTACTTGACCCTGTAGCCCACTGACTCGGGGTTCCCGTTATACTGGGAGTCGGGCAGGGGCTGGAAGGAAGGATGGGATTTACGGTGAGCTGACTTTGGCAATGGGTACCCAGGGAAGTGTTTTACTGGGGGACATCCTCAGAGACTCCTGTTCCACTTTTCCCTGGCACTTTTCTTCTGATAATTAAACGAAACCCTGTCCTTAACTCCAGCCAGGCATAATTTCTTTAAATACGTCCTTGGCTTACTTTTGTGGGCAGTGTATTGATTAACTATCAGCCAGGCTGTCTTGTTGATAATGAGTATGGGTTCTCTGTTGACCCAGCTTAAGTTCTTACTGTAGTATCGTAGGCCTTCTTCCCCCAAGAACATTCCTATGTTTCAGTAAGACAGCTTGTAATGCAAACTAATACGATCGTCTGGCCTGGTCTGCACTCTCACACCTACTGTGAAATGGAATATTGGGGTTTAATGATGGGATTAGTTGGCACTAGCTGAGACTGCTAAGCTCTTGATTCATTCTACAAGCCCTGACTGCTCTGGACCGCGTCCCTGGTGGTCCCCCCTCCTGGCCACAGGCCTTACCACCCAGCGCAGCCACAGACTGGTCTCGCTCGCTGTGCGGACGGTGATGCTGGTTGGAGCCACATCAGGAGGGGCCTGTAGGGTCTGGATGACCCTGGACGATTGGCTAAAAGGGCTCGGGCCAACGATGTTCACCTGCCTCATCCGAAATCTAGATGTAAAACCAGGGGAGAATGTTATTCTGAGAAGGTAAGGGTGCTGGGGAAACACTGACAGAGAGAAAGACAGGGATCTTTCTAAACAGAGGGCATAAGTGTGTATCCCGCTGAGCCATAAAGGCCTTTGCTCTAGAGTGCCCTTTTCCTATACAAATTATATACATGAACCTGCAAAGAATGGTTAAGTCTCTTGCTGCTCCAAAATGGTAGATTCCCAAATAAAGTAGAGAATTAGACAGAAACCAGATGTATGTATGGAATCAAAGTAGCAAACTGTTTAAGCAAACAAACCCCAAATCATAGATTCCGCCTCATAGTGACCTTATGTTGTTGTTATTAAGTGCCATCAAGTCGATTCCGACCCATAGCGACCCTGTCTAGGGTTTCCAAGGAGCAGGCTGGTGAGCTTGAACTGCCGACCTTGCAGTTCAAACGGCTCTGCAGTCTTAGGACAGAGTGAAACTGTTCCTATGGCTTTCCAAGACTGGAAATTTTTACAGAAACAGTCTCATCTTTCTTCCTGCTGAGGGCATAGAATGACCAACATTTAACCCACTGCACCACCAGGGCTCCTTGTTCTAACTAACGACTTTTAAAGGCCAAGTTTCTATTTAATGACTGAGATCAATTCCTTCCCATCCCCTCAGGGTAAATCTAAGATGTCTCAGATTCTTTATAAAATCAAGGTGAAGTTAGATATCTTTTATGGCTATATGCAAATCTCTCAACCCTGTCTCGTCTTAATTTGTGTATAATTGTTTGAATTGATTTTATACACAGGAAAAGAATCCTGAGCACACACATATATTTATTCCAGAAGGTTCCTAAATTTAGATGAATTTAAGATGGGAGGAAAAGCTGGTCTTTAATCACAGTTTCAGAGAGTGAATTGAATCACAATAATTATATTGCTTCGGTTAATTTCACATGGAAAGTCTGGAAGCCCAATTCATTTCCTACTAACAGTATTTTTTCAAAACTGAGTGCATCCTATCTTGACCCGCCTGCTCTAACCTTTTCAGGAAGGATGCTGGAATGATAGCAGCTAAACAGCATCTCTTGTGTTCATTTGTTTTTCTTTTTTAACCTCTAACTTTGGTATTGTGGAGAATGAATGTCCATGATCAAGATGCTAATTCATTTTTAATTCCCTGAATTAGTGATTCTGATGCCCTTTTCTTCTCCTAATCCTCCAAAACGTATCCCACATGGCAGAATGATGACATTACCCAGCTCAGCATTTACTGATAACTGGAAATTCTACGTCTGCCAACATTTACAGGAAGTTATAACACATCTAACCACTCCTTGAACATGCCACCCTATCCTGGGTTAAGGTCGAGGATTAGCTGAAGGGTAAGTTTCAGGATCGAGAAGCCAAAAGTTGAAAGGCATGTTAAATGTGTGGCTACTAATGATCGGTGCTTCGTGAAGCTAGGGGGAAGCAGAGTGGTCATCAGAGGACTTGGTTTGCACACAGCGTGTCAACAACCACAGCAGTTATGGAGTTTTGTAAAGGAAGCGATCATGTCTGCAGCTGCCAGTGGTTCCTGGTTATTTAGCGTCATATACTAGCGAGCCCTTCCTATAGGGTGTTTTGCTTTCTAGTATTTATGGATAGCGCTTCCCTAATCTAACATTAGGGCATGCTGTCACCTGAAATTATATTCAACTGTGTGTCTTACCTGCTCTTTAAGGTCTGACTGTAATTGTGACTTGAAGACATCTCATTTCCATATATATGGTGGGATTCCTTTACAGCAAACTAGGGCCCCCTGCTGGAAGGAAGCGGGCTTCTTCCTGCAGTAGCTGGTGGCCTACCATGCTCACCTGTACTGAGTGTAGGGTGTGAGGTTTGGGATCTCCAGCATCTGGGCATCAGGTTCATTCTCCTCCTCATACAGGATGACCCACTCTTCCTCGTCACCAATGGCCCCGACCTGGGAAAATGGAAATGCTTAGGTAGGTGCTGGGCCTCACAGCATGTGAGGGCAGTGAACATGCCCCATTTGTGATGCAGGTCCCAGTGTATATATACGCTGTTATGGCTGGGGGTGGTTAATCCAAAGCTCAAGCATTGGGAAATAGGGCACAGTACACAGGGAAAT